GAGAGGACGTAGTTTTATTACTATCGTTCGTCAATCTCCACAGACAGGTCCAGTCTACACTATTGTCACCAAGTCCATGGAACCAGACTAAAAAATACTGTTAGTTTAGTAGATGTCTAGGTACTGTTTAATTAAGCGACTTCAGTCTCAAAAGTCTGGATATTCCCGAGACTGAAAATATCAGTCTCGCAAATGCAAAAACATTGCCTAGACTCCAAATTAGATCCGAGACCGTATACATGGTATGGTATTATTTTTTTATGGATAATATTCGCAACGTAACGACAACAAACCTACAAGCTACGTTAAAAAATAGTACCTTCGTCATGTCAGAAAAATGCGTGTATACTTAACGGACATTTTTTTTCGTTTTAGCAAAAAATGTTACAAATATAGAAGATTGTTATACATTTAATTTCAATTTTATAAATAATTTTATTTTTATCATTGTGATTTCTGTCATGTGTTTTTCTTTCATTCTCACTATCGATCAAGCAGTCTTGAGCTTATATTCTGGAAGTACAAACGGACAAAGGAACTTATGACATTACACTAATAGGGTTTCCGTCTTTATGGCATTCCCTGCCAATCTTTGGGGTTGAACGGATCAAGTAGGTTTAGTATATGTGTATATAATTAGGTACTTCGTATATACCTACTTATTTTTATAGTTGTGTACTCAAATGAAGGCACTTAATATCACGCATTACCGACGCTCAGCCAGCCGATACGTGGATATGTGAAAATAATGAAGATCAATGGTCCTGCTTTATTGTGGGTAGGTAGGTATGCGTTCCTTATTCCGTCATGCTTATCCAAGTATATCTTATCATGCTTATACAAGTAATAAACACTGGGAATTTAGCGTTAGAATTGTAGCAACGGCTTGCTGCTTTAAGTAGACCCCCGAGAAAGTATTAAATATATTTCTATGTTAACCTAACTAATGCGTGACATTTACTATTTACTTTATTTTTTACGCACACATTCAACATAGCCCCGCACTAGGGAAACCCCGTGTCGCGGGTGCCATGGACACACACATAGACAACCACAAATTACACCCAAACTCACGAGATAAATAATTGTAGGCCATACAACAATTTCTCCTGGCCCGGGAATCGAACCTGGCACCTCTGCGTGGCAGTACAGCATGGTAACCGTTCGGCCACGGAGGCAGTTACCTAAATCTTTACCTAAATTTTTACTTGTGTGGGACTTTGTTAAGAATTCGAAATTTGTGGCTAGTCTTTAGGTTTGCGTATAGGCGATCGCTACATATTGGAAATGAAATTAGTTTTTCTGATTTAAAATTGCGTATATTTGTTTTTTTGAATTCCCGATGCTACTACAAAAAAGCACTGGCATCGTGCTAGAACCGCATTTTTTTTTTCAAACAAACCAAGGTTTCATGGCTGACTGATCATGTGATCTGTAAAGAGCCAGAAACGTCGGTTTGTTTGAAAAAAATAAATAAATAAATGCGATTCTAGCACGATGCCAGTGCTTTTTTGTAGTAGCATCGGGAATTCAACATGTCATCATTATAGTCATATTTTTGACAGCTTCAATGATCGAGTGGCTGGCACATCGGTTTTCATGGTGTCGCCGTCTCTGAGGTCCCGCGTTCGTTCTCCTGCGGGCTCAATGTACGAAACTAACTTTTCTACATTGTCTCGGGTCTGTGTGTTTGTGGTTCTATCGTTGTTTCCAATTTCCATAACACAAGTGTTTTAGCAACTTACTTTGGGATCAGAACTATGTATGTGATGTTGTGTAACGTTTATTATTTATTAAAAAAAAGATTTACGAGTATAGGTACGTATATATACTTTTTTGTAAACAATATTGAACAACGTTATATTATGTAAATAAACGATAATAATTATCATTTATTTATTCGTATATTATTCATTACATAATTACAAAATACATATTTCAGAGATATGGTTTAGAGCTCACACTCGTCAATAAGCCCGCCCATCACTGACCCCGGCGCAAAGGTGCCCATCGCGCTTGCCGCATTTCCACTCTGTATGGCAATGGACAATCTTTGCGCCAAGAACAACCTGGCGCGGGAGTCATCTCCACTCTCTCTTAGCCGTCGCTCGATTTCCGCTACAAAATTTTTCGCATCGCTACCCCAACAATAATATTAATAACTTATAGGAACTATTATCGTACATTTATAGTAAATATGTGGTACCAATGATATCTATACTTTCGTGGTACAAAAGAGGAAAAGGTTTCAAAAGTAATTTTAATCATGGTTTAGTTCGCGTTGCGAAATACCTCAGGACTTCATCGCCTTTCTTTCCACTTAACGTCTAAAGGTGCGGTTTAATTTCTTTTTGGATGAAGGGTCAAGATTAAAAAACAATTAGGTTACTTTTATCTCGATGAAGCACAGCCCCAGGGGAAAACTCAAACTCCGTGAGCTGAGACACAGAAGAGGCTTGTTGTTTATGTACAAGGCGGAGGTTTGGACAGTCGCCACTTGAAAAGGGCTAGCTAATCTTCAGAGATTTTGGACCATATTAAAGTTTCGTGCCGTTATTACAATGATGGATATTCTCTTTTTATCATAACAATACATACCTGTACGTCAAAACGAACGCTTTTAAACACCCTTTTCAACTTGGAATTGCCTTGCGGCTATTTTATAGTATTTTGATAACATATTTTTATTACAAAGCTTCAATAACTTAGCTGTTAGTTAAACACTTTCAATTACAGTTTTAAGTTGTTGCTCTCAACAAAAAAAATTAATAGGTGGGTTCTTGTGTTTGTTACGATTCGTTGCAGTTTAGTTTGGAAATGATGTTCTTTGCAGTATCGGACATAATGCTCAGTGCGCAAGTTATTAGTAACATAATAGGAATTTCGTGCAAAAGATTTCTTAGGTGGTTATTATGTAGATAAATTAAGAGCTTAGTCTTAAGAGGATATTCAAATAGAAATCTGATGCTAAGCAAATTTGCTATAGGGAATCGTGTCACAATGGTTGTCCCTCACTGGTAATTAGGCTTGTTTGTGAATAATGAGGGTTAATTGCGACAAACAGGGCTCAGCAGGCTAATCCTGTTCGCTATCATCGCTCGGACGGTATGCGCGCTGGTACTCGAGGCTCGGCGGCGATGTGATCGCTTTGTTTAGGCGAACGAATTAATGGACTTAATGTGTAAATGCTGTATTAGCTGAAACACTATTGGTAGTTAAGTTAATTATCATGAAATAACGATAGATATTTACTGTTGTTGATTTGAAACGTTGGATCCATTCTATATGTCATATTTTAAATAATTGTAATTTGTCTTTTATTTACGTAACACTTACAAATAATTTTCCATAATAATTATAATAGCCACAGATTGTATGAAATATTGAACGTAGAAATTTGAAATGGAATAATTTACTCGTCTGCTTAATTGGACATAGCTGGAATTAAGATTTTTTGCGATTGAGAAACGAGTTGTCAGAATTAAATGGCGTAATAAAAAAATCTTTAATTCTCAAAAGTCATACAAGTCGTATCAATTTATAAGAAGCACTTCACAGGCGCAAGTGCTTTTTGTATAGTAACATTGGGAACTGCAATACATCCAGCATGATATAAGTCATCTCGGTATAAAATGTAACTTTGTATTATAATTGATAGTTGAACAACGTAATGGTAATTAAGTAAACGATAATAATTAATTATTAATATAAATAATAACAAAAGAATGTACAGATTAAAATTAAATTTAATGTTTAATTGCGAGTAATCTGTAGTATAATCCGCTCGAACGTGCAATCGCTTTGTGTGATGGTAATGAGCGGACATAACGCAACGCCAATATTATAATGATTTACGAGGCATGTTACCCATTGGAGTGACTGACGATGACGTTTCAGCATTACTAACTTAAAACGGGTAGTTTTAGGTTAGGTACAAAATAATAATGATTACAAAACGAAGTTATGAAATAAATATAATGCCTTTATTATTGTTATAATACCTAGACTAATATTATACCAATATAATAAATAATAAGTTCTTACAGTATTATAATATAACTATTGTTACAATAATACAGTATAATCAACAATAAAGGAGAAACGATTTGTCGAAACTTGTAGTCTATATTTATTAATGTAACTATTTATATACCTAACTGTTAGTATCCCTAAAATGTAAAACGAATATGTAAAAATATAAAATCTCATTCACTATTTCAAGCTTCATTCCCAAATTGTTGAATTTCAGATATTGACAATACAAACTTGAACGGTATAATGTAAGGGATTGTTCATGGTCGCCACCGCAAATCCCACTTTATTGCTTATTAGTAGATGAAAGACACTCGTTTCATTAAATAAAGAAAATGTAAGGAATGAAATTAACTCTGGAAAGCCTTCATTCGTCATATTTCGTGCTTTGCTTAAATGTTTTTTGTAAATCGCCGGCGGTAAAGTTTCTGTTTCTCTTTTCTCGCTAGAAAGAATTCAAGCCGAAATAACTTCTAATTGAGTACAATTTAAATGTTGATTAAAAATATTCAGCCTTACCATATAATATGCTTTTTTAAATTTTAGTACCCACCAGAATTGAATTTCATGCCAGATTTCATTAAGAACTGACAGATTCAACATATTTACCTTTAAAATTAAGTTTTAGCCGCCTATCAGCGAAACCGCTTCAATGACTCAAACGAGGACTCTATCTATTTGACATTATGCAAGTTTAAATTTCCTGAAACTTTACGAAAATATTACTTTAATACAACGTGGGCACATTTTGTTTGGTTAACGTCTAATTTGAATTAAAAACTTTTGAAAACAAAAGTTAACTGTTGAGAAATGTCTCAACGGTTTAATAAAAAGCAATTTCCATATTTTTGTCATAGCTCTTCTTACCGTTTTTTTATTTAAAAAGTTGTTTTCAACACTGAAGCATATTTAAAAGTGATTAATTATTTCCTAAAAATTAATGTCGTAATGAGAATTATTGTACTTACGCAAAAGTAATGTTATGTGAGCACTAAAATATCACACAGGAATTACACAAGAAATTAATGGTTCCACAGGTGCTTTCCATGATATTTTAATGTGACATTAGTCTCGTCATTTGAACACAATGAGGGCCGTATTAATGGCATGCTTTTAATAGCGAACCCCGTAAAAGGTTACATTACGTGTGCGCTCGTGTAGCTCCGGCAAGCTACGACTACGGTGAGCGCGCTACGCGATCGAGTGCCGCTCGAGCTAACGCGTGGCGAAAGCTACGGTCCGTGGGCGCAAGTAGCTAGGAATTCAGCGTTGCTACGAGGCGGGCGGCCGCAGAGAGCGCGTGGGTCGCACTGCCTCTGGCTCCGCTCCGAACGAATAATCCATACCCGAGAGGCGAGGAGGCTGTGTTTACCGGACCGCAGGGCGAGCCAGGCTGGCTCCCGACGTCGCTGCGCTGCACGCTACCGTCGTACTGCCGCTGCACGTCGCACTTTACCGCCGGCTTTACATCCTTCATGTTAACATACTTCTATATAATGACCCGGATACTCCGAAATCTGCATGCAATAAGCCACGCTAATGCAAATCTCATGCGTGCGTAACTAGAGTATCGATTACCCTTGAGCCTCGACCCAAAGTACAAAACAAAACTAAACTTTTCCAGACACGAATGCCATTAATCACTTCAGTTCGAATGGAAAGGTAATGGTTGCAAATTGAATATCTATGCTTTTAACCGACCTAATACAAAAGTTTGCGAAATGGGTATGGTATTAAAATTTTATGAATATCGCCTATTGGGTCATGTGACGCTAAAAGCATTAAACACAGAAAAGTAACGCACATGTGACTTTGGAATAGCAACTTTATTTTGTTTTATGCAGCATATTAGATGATAAGTATTTATTTGCTATTTTATAGTAGTATTTGCTATTTATTATAAGTAGTTTACAAAATCTTCGTTTATTTAGTTGAAACCTTTTTATATAAATCCTTGGTTTATTTACTAGGATAACATAATAACGAATATTTTTACGGCATTAATAAGAAAAATAATATTAAATATGTTTAAACGTATAAAAAAAAACTTGTACCTTCAACTGCTCTTGTTAGAAAGGTACCGAAGTGCCGAAGTTGATTGAGGGTAGAGTATGTAACCAAAACCAGAATGTTTTTAACTAACAATATAATTTATCTAATTTCACGCTTTTGGAAAGTTGATGACGCACTGAGGTCAAAGATCGTTTTTCAGATTGTTAGTAACTTAAAATTATTTCCAGATATTGTAATTGCTAGCACCGTCAATTGAGGCTTTGCGCTTACGATGAATTGTGATATTTTAACTTTGCATATAGCTGCATCTGCTGGAAGTTATATGTTTTCACCATATCCAAAAGGGTTTGGCAATAAAATAAGACTTTCTTGTTCTGTGTTGTTGCTATAACAATAAATAACGGTGACGTGACCGGTTTATTAGTCGCTGCATTAGGTAGGTGTGCTCGTGGAGGAAAACGAGATTTCAGTCCTTAGACGCGCCTTTGCAGATAAAGCTCCTTTAATGGGACCTAAAAAAAATATGCCATTAAAGAGCAGAAAATATAAATTTCACAGATATGACTTACTCCAGTACGAACGCGGGTATCTGTGCGACTCCTGTTTGTTTATTGACCATATCCTTTGTGTTTAAATGGCTTTTCGGAATGATTTAATGCTTGTGCATTCCGGACCCATTTGCCTCCATTTATTTTTTCCCTCACTCATTTAATAACAATCATATTTTTTAAGTTCTTTAATCGGTACTCGCTTATAATATATATCGCCGTTATACTGGGAAAAACAATAATTTCACAAAATATCGACTTCGAAATAAATGAAATTATAATTGCACTGCGTCAAAAATTGTTTTATTTTCACAAATGTCATCCCAAGTTGATTTGTAACGGATGATTCCACGTTTTATGTATTATTTCCGAAATTTGAAAATGTTTGCATTTTACAGCAATTTTGTCGCGTTATCCTAAATTAAGTCATTTTCTGTGTAAATCCAGATAATTGGTTTTCGCAGTATAACGACGATATGGAGTTAAGATCTTTATCGTATCAATCACAGAAACTTTTGAATGATAAAGCGTATGCTTGAGTCGTAAAACCTAAAGTTTTATTACGAGGGTGAAAATATTCCGAGAAATATATAAATTTAACGGCAATTCCCTCACAGAAAGGGCGGAAAGGTAAGGAGTAAAGTGGATGACAAGAAGGGCAGCTACACCTCTTGAGAGTAAAGTAAAAGATGTTTGGGTCGCCTCAACTGACGTGTACATTTATGAAAGCTTCGTACCCTCTTCAATAAAAGTAAAGATTTTATATGCCGCTACTCTTCTGTAACTAGATACTGGGCTATTGTAATAATAATATTTTTCAAGTTACATTCTACCTTTTTCGCAACGTTACGCCTATAGTAAATGTTTCTAGTCAGATGTTTAGTTTGATAAATAATACAACAATGTAACGTGAAGCGCCTTGAATTCGAAAAGTTTTGCTAAATTACAAAACATTTAACCCGTGCAGAGTTACACGACCGAGTACTTATTTAATCTCTTGTCGCGTTAATCGTTTCTCACCTTGTTTTATATTCGTTATTATAGAGGAAACAATGCGTATTTAATGACTTGGTGAACATAATATTGTATATTAGGTTACTTATTGTTGTTTTCCATTGAAATTTAGTTACTTATAAGCTAAAAAAATATTATTACTATTATTATATTATTAAATATTGTTACTATTGAAAACTATGCTTATAAAACATTTCAGCGTTACAGTGAATATTTAAGTGAACATATATATAAATATGTAAGTGAATTTTCACGACTTCGCCTGCGTAGCATAAGTACTTGGAGTAGCCTACAGTTACTGTACTATACTAATTTTCATAGTTTTATTGGGTCTCTAAAGTTTCATCCCCTTTATGCTGAAGCATTTTTAACATTTATTTTTGTGACAAAAAGGTAGGTTTCCATCTATCTCTGTACCAAAATTCATCAACATCGGTTCAGCGGTTTAGGCGTGAAAACGTAACAAACAGAGTTACTTTCGCATTAATGTATTAGTGTGGATAAACTCACTATAAAATTTATTAGTGAACATTTTCAGCGAATAAGCCAGCTTAGTGTTGTAAGACAAAACGGAACACCAAAATCTTACCTTTAAGCTACTGAATCTATTCTCAATCTATATAGGTATATGCAGATGTTTGTAAACGGACTATCTCTGTTAAGCGCCGTTTATGTGTTGTGCCATTGTATAATAGATAGTAAACCCTAATCCGCCGTAAGCCGACCTGTAAATTTACTGAGAGAATATTAAGGTTAAACGGGTTTGCTGCGTGAAACTCACTTGTTTCGATAGCAAACTTAGCGGAGCGTATATAAGATGCCATATCAGAGGTTAATTTCATTAACCCATTGTCTGTGACGAGATGATTAACAGCGTCTCTTCAATGTCTTATCAGCCTACTTACACCTTGCATCTAACTCTAATACATTTACCATGAGATTGCCAAGTTTAAAGTACAAAATTGATACGGTTTCGCAACAAGTCTTTAGCACTATAAATTATAAGTGTAACAGCGAAAAATAAGGGCGACACATAACACAGGTACAGACCATTTGTTACACCTCCACACGACTTTATATTGTTGTTTCTCTCTTATATACTCTTACTTTACCAACGTTAGATGGTAAATCTCAATTACTTCCACACGAAAACTTTTATATTCATAATGTGCCTATGTTAATACTAAATTGACTACCTTAATTCATGAGCATTAATTCATTTACATAATTTAATATAAATCAAAAAATTATTTTATTCGCTTTAATAAGGCTCGCAACACTGTTCAACATACAACAAGACACGACAACAAGCATAGAAAAATTCCTGAGGTCCGCTGGTTCGTTCCGTGGCTTAGTTGGTAAAGCGTCTGGCACGGTATGCTAGAAGACGTCGGTTCGAATCCGGCCGGATCGAAGGATTTTTTTCTGAGTGTTCGATCTTTGTATTAATACTTATAACAAACTAGTGGAGTAATTTCACAAAAAATAATTGAATATCAATTCAATAAAAATTTAAATTACAGTTCAACATGTCAATAACAGTTATTTGTTATGCAATACTGCAAAGTTGTTGTTTGACGCGAGTGCTTGTATTGTAATCTGAGTAAGCGAAGGTTTCTAAGATTGAACCACGAGGGAAGCGAGTGGTTTAAAAATAGAATCCTGAGCGTAGCGAGGGTTACAAGGCAAGAGACGCAAAACAACTATTCATGTAAATGGTGGATGGAAGATGAAAGAAAAACAGGTGAACTATTCCCAAATCAGTTTTATTGTACAAAATTAGTTACCGTTGTCAATTTAATGTCAACAATAATAAGAATAAAATTTGAGAATGGCTAAATGTAATAATGTACGACAAATCGCGTAGTTGAACGTGTCATTGTGTTTTTTTTTTCACCGAAAGAAAAAGTTAGGTGTTCCTTTTTTTTCCATCCTCTAAGGTTCCACAGTCCTTCGTCAAGTTCGAATTATAAACCTGTTCCACGCTAGCGCGTAGCGTAGAAAAGGTTTTTGCGGGCAGATTTCTAATGATGAGAAAGAAAATCTATCCGAGCTAGTGACGTGAAAAAATTTATTATTTGACTAAATAAGTTATTATCTTTCAAGTTATTGTTATTATAACACAGAGCAGAGTTCCTATTATATTATATTATATTATCCAGCACATTTGTAGGCTATGAGACGGGCTGCGTTTTTTGATCAGTCGATGGATATTGTTTAGTCACCTGACGTTTAAGAATTTGTTCATATTTTGAACACAATCTGCTTATTTCAATTAATTAATTAGATAACAGAGAAGAACTCTGGTTGCACGTATACACAACACTATCCATAAAGTGTTTTTGTATGGGATACTAAAAGTAACAGTAATAAGCCGCCTGAAAGGTGTACTAATAAAATAAATGCTATATTAAACGTTTAGAATATTTATGGCATGAATGGCCAAGAGGTAGAAGTGGAACTACTCCTGAACTGTAGCAACATTGATATTTTTTGTATTGCTGAATACAACCGAATTCCGTAATTTGTATTACGTACCTAAACATCACTTCATCTTTAGCTTCATCAATCACCCGATGGTAGTTCGTTCAAGAGAAAAAGTTATTCATGGCAGCTCTTTATTACTTAATCGAAACAGATTATTATTAGATTTAGATATTGCTTTGTCAAATAAAAATCGATTGGGCAAAATGTAAAAAAATGTGGATTTTGCTGAAATAATCGATAT